TTGAACAAAAGAATTGATCAACATAGTGTATGACCATATATGGTCATATAACTCATTAAATATGCGTGTCTCTAATATCTCGGGCATTATTGCAAGTTCAAACATGGAATCAACGCTATATTGAAGACATAGGACGAGAGAATTGACCAACATATTCGATGACCATATATGGTCATAGAACTGATTAAATATGCATATCCATATATCTCGAACACTTTTAAAGATAGAAACATGTACCCAAACCTATATTGAAGACTTTGGACAAGATAATTGACCAACACAGTCGATGACCATATATGGTCATACAACTCATTAAATATGCATGTCTCTAATATCTCGAGTACTATTGTAAGCACAAACATGGAACCAATACTATATTGAAGACATTGGACAAAAGGATTGACCAACATATTCGATTACCATATATGGTCATAGAACACATTAAGTATGCATATCCATAATATCTCGAGCACTTTTAAAGATAGGGACATGTACCCAAACCTATACTGAAGACATTGGACAAGAGAATTGTCCAACATATGAGATAACCATATATGGTCATAGAACTCATTAAATATGCATGCCTCTAATATCTTAGGCACTGATGCAGGTAGGAACATGGAACCAATGCTATATTGAAGTCATTGGACAAGAGAATTGACAAACATACCTGATGACTATATATGGTCATATAACTCATTACATATGCATGGCAATAATATCTTGGACACTATCACATATACAAACATGGGACCAACGTTAATTTTGGGGGCTATTGCAAACAGTCATACCTGGCCATGCATTGCATGTGACTTGGCCATGTGCCATGGTCTTGAAAACCGGTCATTGCTGCTATGCAGCTATATTTTATTATTATTATTACTTATGTATTTTATTGTTCCTTATATCCTTATTGTATTCTAATCTAGATCCCAGAAGGGATACGATATCAATAAAGGTTGTTATTATTAAAATATCCTATATTACTCAATGCGAAGTTGATAAGTCCTCTGAGTCAAGGTATAATATAGCCATAGATTTTAATAACTAGTTAAATCTATCTGTTCAGCTTTGACGATATTGCAGGAATGAATTATTTCCCCCAAACCATCCATGCTCTCCCGCGTAGAACCCCTGCGCTTAACTCATCACCCATTTCTGAATGGTCTCACCCACGATAAATAATGGAATGGTCCACTGAACACGTCAGCTGCTACCTCTCAGCTGTTTGGGTCATCATGGCATCGACAGTAAAGCTTGGTAGCGTAGTTACTATAATAATTGTTTTTGCAGCATATGTGTATAAACGAAATTTGGACGAACAGCTGAGAGACCACCTATTAGCAATATCCAACAGTCTGTTGAGGGCGGAACAGAATTATGCAGTGACTCCCAAAGTGAAGGTTGCAGTTGGTTTCGGCGCTTGTGAAGATGTTTTCGTCGACTCATTGGAATTACTACACACCATGTCATTGCAACCCCCTGTCAAGGAGATTCACCACGACTATATTAATTCATCCAGTGAACTCGCGGAAGTATTTGCGTTTTTCTTCAAACATGGAGCTGCTGCTGAGTAAGTTTTACCTTGCCCATTCAATATTGTGGTGTCGTCCTTCGCAAAAATACAATGGAATATAAAAGTGCCAGTCATGCAGGCTATGCAGAAATGGGTCGCCCACCTATGTTAAAACATGGAAGTACCTTCCATGCTTCAAACAATATGAGCAAAATTTTGCAAGTCAGCAATTTTTTCTCTCACTAGAATAGATAATAATGATTTATTCTACACTAACAAAATCGACGAAAGCATTTTCTTACATGTAGTAGTTCCACCAAAACTCAAATAAGGGGCAGTCGATCATTGAATCTGCGGGTTGGTGGTGGTAAAACGTCCGCGCATCGATATATGTGTCAAAATTGCAATGGTATTATCGGAGGTACATTTATATACATGTATATACAAACTTAGACATAACACTTATTTTGACTAAATTTATTTGAACTGTGTTCATGCAACACATGGTGTTTGTCACACCACAGTCCCTCAATCATATAGAGTGATCAGATGGACTGTGGTCACATGCAGTATTTTACATCTGTTATAAAAGACAAAAAAATGCTCAGACAGAAAACAGAACAAAACATGACCTATAAACCAGTGTTAGTGAATGAAGTACAAATGCTATACACAAACCTTGTAATAAATGTTCTCTTGAAACAGATAGGAAACCATACTTAAAAATAATTGAGGATGAGTAGAAGAGTCAGCTGCTATTTAAAATTTTTTGTATGGAAAAAAATAGTGTGAATACGTGTGGTATGTGAAAAAATTCCTATTTATTTCAAATGGTTCCACCCTTAATCTTCTTCAAGAGACAATTTTTCTTACTTTTTTGACAAGGAATTTTTACCCAGTAAGAAATATTTGTTTGGGGGAAAAATGTCTGGGGAAAAAGCAGATCAGCAAGGGACATTTTTGGGGCAATTTCCACAAGAATTCATATTACATGTAAAAATGTTCCTTAGGTGCTAGTGCAAAAAGTAGTATGTTTACCATATATTTGTTATATGGTTTTTGTTAATAAAAATAAACCAAAACCATATTGTGAAAAGTTAAATATATTTAATAATCTGTTTTATTGGTTCGGTACATGTATCTAACTTCTTAACTTAAGCCAGTGTCTTTTGTATGTATTTGTCTGTGTGTTTTTATCAATTTAATCCCATTTTGAGGAATTTTACATATTTCAATAAACCTGCACATAAATTAATATTTAAAATGTTGACAACCTACAGTCAGTACAGTATATAACTTTCATTTCTTTATATCTTTGCTTGAATTGATTCTACTAACTATTGTTATTGCAGACGCTTCATGTCAGACGAAAACTTCTTCGCCAAACTTGTTGATGTAGCAAAAGATCTTCCTGATTCTAGAGGGGCACTGGGAGGCAATGCTCCAGTTATCGCAAATCGATTAGCCATTGAAGGATGTGAAGTTTTGCTTGGAGGTACATTATCCAAAAGATATATGAAAGAATTGAATGATGGTGTTCAAGGTTGG